CATCTTAAAGAGAAAATAGTGCCAACTTAGTAAACTTAAGTAGTACCAGGTAATAAAGAGAGCAAATTGGGTGAGCTAAAGTTCCATCTTCCAGCTAGAGGTTTCTTTTCAGCCTTCCAATCAGCAAATGGTGAAAAGTGCTGACTAATCTGCAGTCCCAAAACCGTCTTTCCCAGCGTTCTGTTCGCCTCTGGCTTCTTCCTCTTGCTGCTGCTTCTTTCTTTGCTTTCCAACTTTTAAATCCACATACAAATCTTCCAAAGTCCAATATGATGCTCAATTTATCTTCTCCCCAATATTAAGTAGATGTAATAGTCATGTTGTGCTCAGACCAGTTCCGGATCTCCCATCTCCAGGTTTTAGCAATCTCTCTCTTTCCCCAAAGCTTCCCCAATTGCTTTTCTGGCCGCTCTCCGCCCGACTTCCAAGAGGTGCTTATCACAACCAGGAGAGAAGAATTTATGCTATCATTCTTCTGTCATTCTACTCCCTTCAGACTTCAAAGAATCCGAGATATAAACCGTTTCTCTGTTCCTGTTACTGGATCTCGCAGGCTGTCACTGCTTTGCTTATTCACTCAAGTGGCAGACCGGATTGGAAGCCGCCATAAAATGACAGCTTACTCTTTAGCGCCGAGCTCGGGAGCTTCCCTCTTCACTGTTGGGGAGTTGCCTTCCCCCCTCTGCAGCTCGAGGATCTCCACGTTGACACGAACCTCTCCGGGGTTCATGTATCCCTGGGGGATCGCTCCTGACGCCAGAAAAGGTGTTCGAAGCCTGCACCAGACTTCTTCACCTCCGATCTCCTGTCCTCTCACTTGAGACTCTACTTTATACTTTTTAAAGTATCGGTTTATGTCTTGGATTTATTGGGGGTTTGAATTCATTTGATGGCATTTTATGAAAAGATAAAATAAAACCTACCCAATAATGTACTAAGAGTTTTTTTTCTTTATTACATTCTTGCAAATTGTTTCCTTGATTTGCTGTTTGGAGGTGTAGATTAATGAATCTACACCTAAAGAATCTAGCAGTAAAGAGGAACTAGCATCCCAGCAGTGGTAAAATTTTCTTTGTAAATGATTTCTGCGAAAAACTATTTTCTGTTTCCATTATGCCACTAACTTTAGAAAATGCCCAGTAAGAACTGGAGTGGGTATTTTTTCAGTCATTTTACAGGAAATAAAATTTCTTGCCATTACTATTAATATAAAGTAAAAAATTTGCCTGATTATGACAGTCTTGCCTATTTTAAATTCTAGACAAAGGCAAATTTCTACTTTAGAGTACTTTCTTTCTTCTCTTAATCCTATCCCCTGGTTATTTAACTGCAAATGATTCTCAAGATATTAAGGGAAAAGTCATAATTCTTTAGCAAAACTTTGTCAATTATCCAAGAGTTAGTCTACATGTAATATAAAACAAAAATAATTGAATTTAGGCAAGAAAAATCAAATGCACAGGTACAGTATATGTGGTACCTTGCTTAATAGTAGTAACTGTGAGAGGGATCTTGGAGTCCTAATGGACAACCATTTAAATATGAGCCAGCAGTGTGCTGCAGCTGCCAAAAAAGCCAACACAGTTCTAGGCTGCATAAACAGAGGGATAGAATCAAGAACACTTGAAGTGTTAATACCACTTTATAATGCCTTGGTAAGGCCACACTTGGAATACTGCATCCAGTTTTGGTCGCCACAATGTAAAAAAGATGTTGAGACTCTAGAAAAAGTGCAGAGAAGAGCAGCAGAGATGATTAGGGAACTGGAAGCTAAAACATATGAAGAATGGTTGCAGGAACTGGATATGTCTAGTCCAGTGGTTCCCAAACTTTTTCAGTCCACCGCCCCCTTGGTGCTACAAACTCATCCTCAGTGCCCCCCCACCCAGGGGTGGGATTCAAATTTTGGTAGGCGTGGCCTAATTTGAGGGCATGGCCTGCTTGGATACGTGACTGGGTGGGCGTGGCTTGCTGGTCATGTGACTGGGTGGGCATTACTTGCTGGTCAAGTGACTGGGTAGGCATGGTTTGGTGACTGGCAAACCAAATAAAAGTAGTCCTCACTTAATGGCAGGTTGCTTAGCAAGTGTTCTAATTTATGACTGGCCTCCCCAGAGCTACTTGACCTGTTTTTGGAGTTTTGACAGCCATGC